AGGGGCTGGACTAGATGACCTTGTAAGGTCCCTTCCATCCCTAATTTCTACGATCCTATGACTTCCAAAAATGTATCGTATGGCAAGAGACCTTATTTCTATATATTTTAAGGTACAGAGGAAATTTCTATGCATAAAACCGTTATGCTTCTTAAATGGATCATAACACGTAATCTGTCTGATGAAGTATTTCACTGTGTTAGCCTTTCAGCAAGTCTCTAAAGGTATGTCTACCTTTGCATCACCCACCCCCAGGAATAAAATCAGTCTGCACAAAGCGCCATGCTACTGCAGTTAGCTCCACCAGTACTCTAAACATACTGCATCAACCCTTCTCCATTTTTCTACAGAAATATTACTTTTCACTAGATTCCTGACGGCTGGCAAGGAAATTATATTATGTCAACTGTACTCAATACTCAGGCCATCCCTGAAAAGGATCAAAGAAAAGAAACCAAACGCTTGTTTCTGTCTTGTAGAAGTGTTCTCAGCCTAGATAGAACCAAAGCACAGCAGAGAGTTGTAGCAGGAAGCCTAAAGAAGGGAAGTTTGGTGCAAGTTCTCACAAGTTGGGGGTTTTTTTTACTAGAAGACATTTTTTGACACTGATTAAAAACAGGTGTTGTTTCAGAGGCAAAGGAAATCAGTCACAACAATACTCACTATTACTTTAACCCATAAAGGAATCCTAAGGTCACAGCTGAAAATATAACAATGGACATGTGGGGATAAACATACCATTCATTGTGCACTCAGGAGATCTTGTGGCTTAATGACCTGGGAACTGGCCTAGGACTTGGGGGAAATGAGTTCTTTTTCTGACATGGCCACTGGTCTGCTGCATGACCTTAGGCAAGTCACTTCATCTTCCTGCCTTAGTTTCCCCATAGGTGAAATGAAGTTAAAATGATGCTTACCCTCCTTTGATCAGCAGCTTTAGCTTTACTGATGAAGAGTGTTTTGTAAAACTTAGGCACTATTATTTCTATTTTCCCAAATAAAAAAACCTGACAATTAACCTTACTTGAAGAATTATTGCTTTTATAGGTAAAGCGGAGAGGAAAAAAGGACCCCCTACCTTCTCCAGGATTGACTGCTGCTGGTAGATTGCTCCAGTCCAGTGTCCAGCATGGGGTTGGGTGAGGAGAAAATGTTGCTTCAATGCCTCTTTCCTACATATAAGAAATAATTCGATTCAATCAAAGTCTACAGGATCTTGATCCTGTGCCCACTGAAGTCAGCAGCAGGGTTCCTGCAGACCTAAATGGTGCAGGATCATACAACAGTACAGCTGTCTCTCCATAATGTTGTAGCTATGTTCTCTGTGCTTCCCCACCATTCATTTTCCAATGGAAGCACTGTATTGTCTTTTACGAAAAAAAAAGTGATGGGCATTTTTATATTAGCTTTGACAAAACCTAATTTGGTTCCCCAGTGCTCTCAGTTCAGCATAAATAGTAATTCACACACAATTACTAAACCCAAATACCAAAAGCAGCTATTTACTACATTTCTAGAACTGGTCCTTTTTTTGCTTTTGTGATGATTAGCAACATTTCTGTATTTTCATCAAAAACATCATCTTATTTCCTAGTTTCTGATAGTCTTAAAATTTATAATTTCTGATTAATTTAATATAAATGTAATACAAATTAAATATAAATTTTAAAACATCTCTAGCTCAACAACAGAGAGAGAAAAATATTTATTAAAATGATTAATACATCCAGAGGTGTTTTCCAAGCACTTCTCATTGAATGCTACATTGCCCTTATAAGTATTTGGGCAAAATTGTAATTACAACCTTATTATTATTATTGAAATAACAAATTAAGAAGTTTAATTACCATTAACTTTGTCATGGTTGGCCTTGGACCACCTATAAACTGTTTGTCTTCATGGTCCTCTTCTGACCCATCAGAAAATGTACTGAAATCTTGGAGATGCTCTTCTGGGGAAGACAGCAAGTCTGGAAACTGGAGAAACTGCATATTGCTCTTAGAAGCAGCTGCCTTTACTCCAGGTACTTCCTGAACTCTTTGGTACCAACCCAATATCAGAGGCAAATCTAATAGTTTTCTGTTCTGCTTCTTACTGAAGAGCTAGAAAATAAAATTCAAAACTTACTTAGCACTACAAGTTTTAGCATCTGATTTCCAAAATAGTATGTTTGCATAACGGAGCAGAGCTTTGCTCCTCCCTTACTACCTGTACTGGGGGATGGGTGGCTAGTGCCAACTTGATTCTTTCCCCTCTACATTAGACAACAGCTTCCCTGAAAGGTAAAATTCTCCATTTAGAGACAGAATCCATAAATCCTTCAATAAGTAGTGTAAGCTTTACAATGACCATATACATTGACCATTTACAGACAGAATCCATATATCCCTCAATAATCTTAGCATTATAAAAAATGTTACCATTTCAAACAAGAAAGTGTTTGCAAGAAAATTATTTAAAAATGTGAATTTAAATTTAAATAAAAATATGTGCATTCTTCATTTCTATCCACCTTGGTGCTCCCTGAATGTTGGCTCGTAATTGTGAATCTGTCTCCCAGAATCTACTTTCACCACCACGCATTTAATTTGTAATTATGGTTCTACTTTAAAAATGTTTAGGAACCTCTTTGGACTATGCCTCATCAAAAAAAGAAAAAGTAAGATAGAGAGAGGATACATAATGCTAAGCAGAGCTCATCATAATGAATTCTGATAAATACCTCTAATTCTTCCTGGGGAAAAGGGCGTACCAAAGGTACCAAAAATGCAAAGATGAAACAGATAAGGTTTTGTCCTTTACACAGCATTCAAAAGCACATTAACCATTTTACTGACATTTCACAGAATAGCATTTCTTTTCTAAAGAGCTTACCTGATAGATCTTATTTAAGCATGGTTGGAAAAAATCGTATAATCATTACCTTTCTGACAACCTTTTCCTTTTACGAAAGATAGATACACACGTCTTTTTAATGGTAAAATAACTGAATTTGAACAACAAGTTTGCAGAACTTACTGCAAAAGCCAACAGGTACTCTTAGCAATATAATGGCAAACATTAAGCCTAACTGTAACACTCTTATCATTATGTAGATGTAAATAAGTGATATGCTTAAATGAAAGTCCTTCAAACATATTTAAATGAAAATAGAACAATTTGCTTCAGCTTCTGTTTTCAGTCCTTACAGCTTGCCTAACGGGAACCTATGTGTACATTTGTGACCACCAGTGTCAATGGGAACAACCCACATAGGGAGATGGGTCCAACACCACAATGTATAAACACTTGGGAAAATTATCTTGGCTGGGAGCTCACTGTATCTGGATTTTAAAATGACTATCTTGTTATTTGTACTGATCTACTCTCTTGTAATTTTATACCAACACCAAATAATTAGTAGTGAAAAAGCTTACTCATTTTAAATTGCTTGCCTGCAGTTAGGATGAGCTGTTGAAATAATGTGTGCATTACTGAAGTCTAACTGGGGCACCATTGGATCTAGGGTTTTGCAAAAGAGGTCAGCTGATGGATACAAGATGCAAATCAGTAATAATATGTTTATCACGTGCATCATTACAAAAGAGTTGGCTCCAAATTATTTAACACTTTGGCTAAGTACAGACAGTCAAAAAGCTTGAGGCTGAATTGATTAAATCTTTGCAGGTTTCTCTAAACTGCCTAGATTGAACCAACAAGCAGGTGAACTGATGTTCACTTTTCAAACCAGAAAGGCAGTCAGACCCCTGTAGTGGCCCACACCAGTACCCGGGGGGCACTAGGGCACACCTCCCACCCTGCCAGCCACTGCAGAGAGCTGGAAGCCTGGTGTTCCCTGAGGCATGCCCCCTCCTCAGCCTCTGACCAGCTGAGCAGGACTGAGGGACCACCCCCCCACACACACACAGACCCCCAGCTGGGGTCTTTCTGGCATAGGGGGAGGGGGGAAAGCTCCTAGCAGGGCATTTCTCCCTCTCTCTCTCCTTTCTTATGCCTGGCAGGGAGCTGGGCAATCCCCCTAGTCAAGCCCCCTACTGAGTCCTGGGCTGGCTAAGGAGGGTGCATGGGGGGAAACTTGCCACCCCACCCAGCCCCACACCCCCAGCCAGGGTCTCCCCCACGCAGGAGGAGGGAGGGAAGGCCCCAGCAGGGCTTTTCTCCTTCTTTGCTCTCTGCCCAGAGCCAGGAGACAAGCCATTTCCATAGCCACATCCCTCCTTCAGTCCCAGGCCAGCTGAAGAGGTGTGGGGGGGAAACCACCTCCCTCCTTCCCCCCCACCCAGCACTGAACCCCCAGCCAGGGTCTTTCTAGGGTGTGGGGGATGCAGGAAGCTCCTGACAAGGCATTTCTCCCTCTCTCCCCCCATGCCTGGAGCCATAAGCCAGGCTGATGATCACCAAGCCATGCCCCCTCCTCAGCCAGCTGAGCAGGGAGTGCTGGGGGGGGGGGGGGGACTACCCCCAGCCTAGCTCTGCATGCCCAACCAGGGTCATAGAATCACAGGAAGTTGGGGTTGGAAGGGACCTCAGGAGGTCATCTAGTCCAACCCCCTGCTCAGAGCAGGACCCTCCCCAACAAGATCATTCCACCCAGGGTTTTGTTGAGCTGGGCCTTAAAAACCTCCAAGGATGGACATGCCACCACCTCTCTAAGTAAACTGTTTCAGTGCTTCACCACCCTCCTAGTGAGAACGTTTTTCCTAATAGCCAACCTAAACATCCCTTGATGCATCTTGAGCCATTGCTTCTTGTTCTGTCATCTGTCACCACTGAGAACCACTGGGTCTTCCCAATGCCAAAGGAAGCCCCAGCAGGGTGTTTCTCCCTCTCCTCCCCCCACTGTGCCCAGAGCTGGGCCAAGCACCTGGTCATGTTCCCTCCTCAACTGGCAGGCCAGCTGGGGGGGGGGGGGGG